TCGCATGCATCACATTCGAGAGGTGCAAAGTTTAAATGTTAGTCCATCACAGCAAATGCCAGGATAGTACATTAAAATTAGGCCAGACCGCTTTCTTTTTCTACATCCTAAACAATTCATACAGGCAGATGATGGTCTATTAATGATATTACACCTTTCAGACCAGTTGTGTAATCTCCGAAAACCTCTTTTGCTCTCCCAAAAATATCCGACGTAATACAAGACTTTCTGTGCTAGAAGCATATTTCATTTGAATATGGTATCCGTGATTATCAATTTTAATATTTATGATATTATACTTTCAAGATAAGATTTATATTGTAGGAACCCGTCACAAATGACGAAGGAAAATATTTGTTTATATTTATTTCGAATGACAGGGAATGGAATAAAAACTTTGACATTCGAGAAATAAGTGCGAATGATATTGATTCAGAGGAACAGATCACTGCTCAACAGAACTGAACAAATAGAGATTCCTCCTTTCTGGTTACATGAGATTAGTGAAAGGGGGAGGGGAACACAACAGGGAAACGGGAAAAGAGATACCACCGTAATAATAGGTGTAATAAAAAGTGTTGTGTTCCGAAGTAACTGCGGTATAAGAATTGTGCGAGGTGATTCTGTTACAGAAATTACTCTTACAATAAAGCGAAAGAATTGGAAAAAAAAGAGGGTTGCCACGACCGCAAATGATAAGCTCCTTACATTATCATTATTATTGTAACCGCACAGAATATCGCCAAAATAAACATTATACGACACAATACACACAATGCACATTCTGTAATATGGTTCAGTGACGAAGGGTTCAGTGTCCGAAATGCACAGCCGATATTGTGTCACTAGGGCTTCAGTTACAACAAGAATGAATAAACGAATAGAGAAAAAGTTGTTTCCTTTACTTCTTTTCTCCGTTTTTTGTTCACAGAGAAAAGTGATGGTGTATTCAGTGAAGCGGTGACTGCCTTCCCGGGCCTTTCGCTCTTAAAATTAACTTCCGCAATTTCATATTTGTCACGGCGACTGTGTGAGACCACTGAAAACATCGAGATGTGGAGGATAATTTTAAAATGAATCCGGCTCATGACAGACACCGGTGGCGAACTCCTGCGAACTAAGTGTGGGTTTCTACGATCTTAATATTCGGGTTCCATGATAGATTGACAATATCTTGATTAGCAAAGCGACTATCAGCTTCTTAACAACGATTCCGCTCCATGGAGTTAATTACACGCTGTTGTAGGTGATGACAATATGGGCTGAAAAGAATTTTAGTTGTCGCCGAACTGTTTCGTTTTTTTTTTATCAAATTACGACATTCATATTTAATTTTGTTTTAGTTTATTTGCGTAAGTTCATGTGTCCCTGGGTTCCTTTACCACCGCTATACGCATTTCTTACGACTCAAATGGACAGCGTTATAAAATAGGCGAACATGAACTAACTGGAAGAGGACCAAAGCAATTTTTAAGGAACTGACGCACAAAATTCACCCCAAGAGTATCGAACTTTGAAAACATGTATCAGTAAAGTAGCATATATTGACAGACTAGGGATTAGCTTACAACCTGATTTTATGAGTTTATAGCTTGACGTGATTCTTGAAGCTTAAGAAAACCTTCCTCACACCTACAAGAAAATAAAAAATCTGGCCCTTCAATTTTTGTGAGGAGAGTTTGTATAACTCTAGTTTTCGCTGTTATCCAGTCCAAAACAAGACGCAGCTAAGCCCCGATTTCATATAGTCTAACAAATTATTGAACACGGTGTTTTACGAGGGAAAATAGGATAATGGTAGTATTTTAGTCGAATGACCTGAAGGAAGAAAACCAATTGAAAGAACTGGGACTTAAGTGAAGAGGATATCAGAGTGGAATAGATTTATTTGTGAACGTGGCAACGGACCTGTAAGTTTCATATTACAACACGGGAAATTGAATTGAATTGAGTAATTGAAAATGCGTCAGTTGCTGTGTCCAACCTCTCAAATATATTTTCACAAATTTGGTATTGTCACTGGAGGTTACCCTGCCATCGTATTTTACTTTTCTCCCATCTACAACAACAACATGGAGGATATGGAGGGAAATACAATGGCATCATTAATGTATATAATTGTGTGCCATAACTAATGAACTACTAAAGCTAGTCATGTGAGAAATGAAATTGAAATAGCCTAAAACATAGATTTATGTACAATTATTTATTACGACTTAAATTAAAAGTATGTCTCCGGTTATAATTCTGAGGTTACGCCACACAAGTAACAGATTTAGGTAATCCACGTTACAGGAAATTATACAAAGAAATATAAAACACAGTTTGTTTTCCAAAAAAGGAAGATTTGCCTCATGATTAGCACTCCAAGTGAAAGGAAAGTATAAACATTTTATCAGACAAGGAAAATATTAACACATCGACGACCTTCACCGTTCTTAAATGGTTGTTTTTATGTAAGTTTCGAAAAGAATCTGTTAATCTTATTATTCCTGGCTGTCCACTAATACCTAAATGATACCATGGATTTGGGTTAAATCTTTCTTTACCTTTACAAATATCAATAATTCGCGCGACCGGTCGCACGTGTTGAGAGTCCATGACCTCTTCTCTCCGGCCAAGGTCGATAATGAGGAAGTTTAGTTACAACTCACGCTTACCACGATACGAGATCCCATGCACGAGCCAAGTTTTGTCAGAATCTACATCACTTTCGCTAATTATAACGATGTGGTGTCAACTTCATAACGTCGTAACACTAAATGAGAAACATAAGGATAATTACAAATTATGACTCACAAAAGAATTTCAGATGAAAATTGTGGCTTCTAATATTGACGTCTGTTGGTCTTATCAAAATGTCGGGCTGTTGTTTAAGGGTGCTCAGTGATAAATATCTCTATGGATGGAAGGTATCTGTCGTTAGGTATACAAATAATGTAACTACGACGAGCATAGCAGGTTTAGAGAAGCTGATAGTCGCTCAACTCAACTGAGACGTTTAGTCCAAATGCGTTCGCTTCGTTCCGTAGTTTCGGAGATGTAGCAAGCAAACACACGGGCGACGAGATCTCTGCTACGTATTAAGAAATCTCGGGTTTGTGTGTCAGCTACGGAAAGGACTATAAAAAAAATCCTCACTTACAACAGCAAATTAAGTTTAATACGTACACAGAACAGTAAAAATTGTAGTTTTCTATGTATGGATGTTAATATTTAGGATTTTATGCAAGACAAAAGAATATAAATAATTCTGAACGAAATGAATGTTCGTTTCCGAAATTTTATCTCTTAATTTCATCGTAGACTAAGTAGTTTTTGAGAAAGAAGTCTTAGATCTGAAAAGAAATATCATATAACCTCCATTGTTCCATAACACGCTTCTTGGTCATCAGCTGTGCGTTTAGTAAAAAGAATTTTACAGCTAAGCGTATCTGAGCTTAGCTGTAAAAACTTAAATCTATTCTGTATCGTAGTTAAATTCAGAGTGTCACCACGGCACTAAATTGTATTAGATTGCATTACAATTCTGAGGTTGCGATAATGTAGTCTGAATAATGATTGTTACGTAAAACATTCGAGATAACAAATGAAGAGTAATGAGGACATTTCTGTAAGGATTTGCTCACTCCCACTATTATTCGTATCCTGAACACTTGCAACAAATCAGATGTAGGAGGAGTGAGGGGGGAGGGTAGTTCCTCATGATTAACGCTGCGAAAATGACTTGTCTACCTTATGACTAATCAATTTCTAGAAACAAATGAAAAACCGCGTTCAAATAGCGAAACAAACTTAATAGAACTGAAGGGTAATGAACGAGAAGAAAAATGTTGTAATAAAAAGAAAGTTCACGTAAAACATATTAATCTCCATGCACTTACTCCACCCTTCCGCTATTCGCCGCTCCGTCCTGCACAGATCGTTGAAGCTTTTCGTTCAGATGAATGGAGGCGTACGAGATTGTGAGAGAGAGAGAGAGTTGGGAAAATGACATGGCGTGGTCAGGTTTATAAAACCCTGTGAAATGCATGGTAAACAGCATAAGGTTTAGGTTCCAGACTATAGCAGCATCTTAGCTGGCCGCTTCGAGACAACTGTTCAGGTATATAACCAGCTTATTCCCGTAGCTTTGGATATTAACGCAATTAGTGGCGTTTATAACGTTTAAACTTTCATTTCAGTAGATATCTCATTATAAACGTCGAAATAAAAATAACATAAAACTACAAAAATGTACACCGTTTTCCAAATTAGGTCCTTATAAAAGTTTATTCTTCTTTGGTCTATATTTGAGGTAGTGTCAGATGTAAGACATGTAAACATTCACGTAGGCGTATATATATATATATATATATATATATATATATATATATGAAGCCAATTAATTATAAAGAAAATTTTCTCATATTTTTTTAAATATAAAGCTAGACATAAAAAGTTATGAAAAAATGTTGTAGATACTAATAAGGTGTTGCGTAAATATTTACTGTACGTGACATTTACGAAAAGAAATATAAATTTCATTCTGAGTTTCTGGATCAGAAGGCACTGTTAACAAACACGAACCTATATATTAGGCCTATATTCGCTCGTCAAAGTATGACATGTAGCAGCCTTTCTCATTGTTCTTGTGCGTTTTCGTACAACGTGATTAAAATGCACGCATAACGGGGAGGGGTTGTGAGTGACTGTGTCTGTTCATCCTCTTGTATTATCTGATAAACTACTCGATGGATTTCTATAGAATGCGATATGTGGGGCCTATACTGGAAATTATCAAAAAATATTTCATTTTCTTTCGTATCGGTCGAACTTTTAAGCTCAAATATAGTGTTACCGACATTGTAAAAAGTGACTTATGTAACGAAATATTTGCGCTGGATATATAAAACAGATATCAATACGGAGGATTCAGAGATTTTTGTTTTAAATATTTTTCGTTGCACTAAATATTTAACAAATAAAAATTGAATAGATTTTGTCACTATATAATATAGGTAAATTTCAGTAAACGTTGGATGTGACTGTAACTTAAGCGGACAGACTGTTCAAGTTCTGTTGTTCTTTTATGCCCTGTTGGGAAAATTTTATAGTAAAAATATGGAGTAAATTAAACGACAGTGATATACAGAGCATACTGTTTGAAGAAAATTAACAGTAAGTAATACTAACAACGAAGCATGTTCCAATTTACGGATACAAACATGTTAATTTTATAAACAAATGAATTAACTAAGTAATTGAGTGACTAACGCAATGGAGCACATCTCTTCTTGAGAAGCTATTGAATAATGAGCTAGATATCGCATATTAAGTAATTCGATATTTAAATATTAGGTTATATAAACGGTGATAGAATGCAGTCCTACCACAAAAAGCAACAAAGAAACAATTTAGCAAAAGTGTTTAGTAAATAAATTGTACTTAACTCAGAGATATTCTCGAAGAAATCATGTGCTCCTTTTCATATTAATATTTGTGTTCTGACACAGAACATTGCAGTAAATGCTCATCCATCCCCAGCGAGCACGACATTTCAGATTTCCTTGAATCGCGTGCTAATAATAAGAGAGCCAATTACCACAGCAGATCCATTAGCTCATTTTGTCGCTCTGTTGGTACTCAAGAGTCACAGCATTTCACCCCTAGATTCCTGTAATTTATCTTCATTAATCATCACCGAAATGATACATGTCTCATAGCTTATATTTCTGATCCCATATATGGGGAATTAAGATTTATTGCTTATTCATTATATCCTATAAAATTTCACATAGTCTATCCACTTTCTGAATTACTGAATATTAAACATTTATAAAATGGTCAAAAGCGACAGAACGTAATTGTGAGGTAGCATGCGATAATTTTTCTGAGAATGTGCAAGTGAAATTTGTGTCCCTACTAATAATTTTTGATTCCTGCTTAAGACTTTTACAAGTATTGGTATGACGTTTTATCTGAAAGTCTTTTTTATAAACAATTTAATTTATTTGGTTTCATCACTACTAAATTATTTTTATGGAGCGGAGTCCTTCTTGAGAAGCTAGTAGCCTCCCAGGCGGTAAAAAGAATTTATACCTGTTTATAAAGTCCGAAAGTTTATTGCCGTGTTACAAGAACCCGCGAATGGATCCTACCTAGATCCAGACGAATTAAGTCCATACCACCATACATTAATCTTTAAAGATTAATGCGCTTATGTCAACTATTTCTTCTTTACAGAGTTCACTGTACAAATGGCAGGCTCATCTTTGAGCTGGAATATCCTCAGTTTGCTGTTTCTTGCGGGAGTTGTACTTTCCTCTCCAGTAGACGGTGAAGATGAAGGGGACAATTTACTAGTAGAATCCACTGTCCGCGAAGTGCGAGCACTACCTCCACCAGGTTTTGATCTACTGGCTGCTGGCACGGGCGGTCACTACGGTTCCCATGCTGGTGGAGGAGGCCATGGAGATGTAGGGTACTTGCGCACCAAGGACAGCAAAGGTGACGACGGTTACCAAAAGTTTGACAGCTACCACAAGAAGGACGGAGACGCATATGGCTACGAAAAGCATTCTTCCTTCGGTAATGCCCATGGCGGTGAGACTGGAGGCAAGTACCACCACAGCGGCTCCTACAAGGACGGGCACAGTGGAGGAGGTCACTACGAGGGCGCGCACTCTGGGGCAACTAATGATGGTGGCCACGCAGTAGGGAATGAAGGCGCAGGAACAGAGCAGAAGGATCATGAGGGCGCTGGTACTGAGGGAGAAGGGTACTACAGCGCCGCATTGACGGACGGCGAACATCATCACTACGGGGGTCATGATGGTGGGTCAGGAGAACACCACTCGGAACACTACTCATCTGGCGACGTGGGTCACCACGGAGATGGGGAACACCACAGCGCTCACTACACGTCGGATGGGGGCGAGTATCATGGAGGCTACCATCGCTGATTCTACCACAACGAGAAGAAAACCTGATATATTTTCAGTTGCGATTTAAATAAATTGTCGATGGCAAATCGGGAAAATGGAGTAACGGTAGAACAACTGCCCTCTACAAACAATTTTTAAATTAAGTACCTGAGATGACTTTATCGTAGCAAATTAATCACTGGGAGGTCAGTGATTTTGGAATCATTAAGAAAGACCCTGAGTATAATGCAATTAATACCCGTTCTAATCATTGAAATGTGCACATAATTAATTAACATCACATTGTCTTATTATGTACGTACGGTATTAAAATCAAGTAGTACTATCAAGATGTCACGTTTTCTCAAATGTTTAACGAATTTCTCTGTTAATTATAGATTTCAATATTAAAAGCTGCTATCGTTATGCAATACTTATTATCACAGCAAATACTTATACACCACAAATGTTTCGTATTTTGGTTTCAGTGTTGCCAAGTATTTCTTCCTCTGTTATTGTTTCATGCAATCTGTGTGTATGCTTTAACTGTATACATTTTACCAACTTCTTGTTATTTATTGTTATTAAAGTTATTAATGACGACTACATTCAGATGTATTTAATTATCTTCACAAATAACCTAATATACGATACAACAGAATTAAGTAATCACCAGTCCAATAAAGTAATTATAAAATTAGTCTGTCTTCTTCTGGCACAATTTCCATATAAATAAAACACCTACTTCGAACTTATGTTTGCTTCAAACTGAAATAGCAGGGGAAAAAACAAACACACAGTTCAAACTAGTTCATGGTAAGGGCCTACTACATGCAACAGCCTAAACATCACATCAGTAAGGCATATTTTGAACGTGTAGGTAAAACCTCACACATTCTAGATTTGGGCATTAGATGGAGGTGTTGGTAAGGGCCATTTAACCCCCCCCCCCCCCCCCCCCCAAGCTTTACATCTTCTACGAGAATCCATCCTTTATCTCTTTGTTTAATTGATTAAAAAGTTAAGCCAGGCACTTTTTATCGCCTTGTATTGAAAATCCAAGTTAAAACATGCGAAATGATTCAGAGGTCTTACGAATTTATAAAAGTTGAGTAGGTTTCACTGGTGCGGGTGGAAGAACATTTGTTTCCGAGTGGAATCATAAGCGTATGTTGCCTTCGTACGTTCTTCAGAAGTGTTTATAGCAACCTAATCTACCAGAACGTGAATACAAGTCTTTTAAGATTGAGTTACTGATAGACACTTCGTTCCTTCTCAATGCTTTATGGACTTGAGAGCGCACCTCTTTACTTTCCTGTTTCTCGTAGCAACGGGATAAGCGATCCTGTTTATAAGTTGACAACTTCAAAGCAAAGTTAGGCTTTTCCTTGTTTTTTTTTTGTAGAAACCGTTGGCTCGTGTATGAACTTCAGATAAATAAACAAAAATAGAAAAGCTGAGTTTCAGCAGATTTTACTGTAACAAGCAAAAACTGATTTTATGTCTCTTGAAGAATTAAATGTTATTACGTCGTCGTTAATATGGCTATATAGCTACTTAGTTAATGAAGGTAAGTTTCACTTACACCATAGATAATTGCTTAAAACAAATAGGTTCATTAAATAAGGAAGTTGTTAAATTTTGACACTATTTTCCCTACCATCGTAATAAATAAACAAAAGCACATCGGATTCCTTGTGGTTACTTTATGGGCAAATGTAAAAGACAAAGTTTACCTTACGTATGGGACAGTGGAGGTTTAGCTCCGTTCATTTGCTTCGGCACAAGGAGGTGAGTGATTTACTCGGGTGGAAAACTGGGTGGACTTCAGAGCCGATCTGGACGCGATGGAGTTAAGGAAATTTCTCTGAATCATTTTCTTGACTGTGACGCGGTTACCAACGCTTCGAAGGAACATACCGCCTATATCTTCAGAAAAAACATATAGATGTAGATGATGTTAACATGTAGATGACAATTTACATTTTCGTCGTCTTAAAAATTTCAAATCTCAAATAAAAATAACTGTCTACACTGGTACGTAATAGTACCCAATCGTCCGATACGCAGCTAATGTCGAAGAACTTACTGTTTATTCTACGATAAATAAATATAACTGGATGGAGCAGATGCGTCCTTGAAAACAGTATGTAGGTATGTAGTTGCTGGCTTGAATAGTTTAAATGTTCAACACTGTCAGTGGAAAAATATATTTTTTCAAACTGCGCAATTGTTACAAATGAAGAATATATTGTGTAATAGGCATATAAATTATACTGACGCTCATCGTCGCTGCGACCAATCTCTGGTCCATCTGGATGGCAGCTACTCCCAAGACTTATCCCGTCGAAGGCGATGCTCATATAAACAAATATTAAAAGCTTCCGTTTCTACGATAAAGGAGACACAACGTGTATCCATGACAAGGATAAGCTATTCAGGAAAAATCTCTGTTTGCTATGAAAACCATATTAAATCCATAAATATACTCCGTGGGGAACAATAAAAATGCAGACTTGGTTGTTTTAAGTAAAAGGTACATTACACCACTGGACTTTAAAAGGATTGAGAGACTACAGGCTAGAGGAGAAATGACAACTAACATCTACCTAGTGCCTCAGTCTAGAATTAGCAGAATTAGAATTGCACTCGGCTATACGCTTTCATGTTATGGTACTAATACCTGCTTTTTCTTGTCTGTTCGATCGCATTTCTTCCCACAGTTGGAGCATATTCAAGCATCCTATTTTATCATTCCTGTCTCCTGCCAGTGAAAGTCAACTGATTAAGCGTCTTTTTTCTACCTCAGTTCGAGGTCGAAGTTTTTATCCTTAGAAAAGGAATAATGAGTAATTATATAAGCATTTTCTTACCGCTACTAAAGAATTGTCAGATGTCATGGTCTAATTTAACGTGGGATAGTATATTTTCTTGAGTAGTCCATTTGTGTAATTTATTAATTGCAAAACATCCAGAAACGAAAAGTGGGAATGCGTACTGCAGTTGAATGTTATTTATTACTCTCCACATGTTTCGTTCGCTAATTTTTACTCCTGTGTGTTTTTTATATTTATTTAAACCTAATAAGAGATATGAGATAGAATAAGTCTTTGTCTAATTCATTGAGTGTTAAACAGAAGCATAAATGGAAACTAAATATAGATAATTTAGCGCAAAATGCAGGACAAGTGCCAACAGAGTTATTTGTTGAGACTGAGATTGGTTGTTTCCAATGAAACCAACTGATTAGGTTATGTAGTTTAATCTGTTGACGGAAACAAAGCCAGCTTACAAAATGTTGTGTAATTTGAAAATAAAAGACAGTGGGATAAGTCCAAGACTATGCATCGATTCAATGGCAGCCCTTTGTCAAAAATCTGGAGACTAAAATTTGATTTTTTATCTAATGGGAAGAACATAGATTAGATAAGGAAAAAAGAAGCCAGGAGGTTATAAATAAAGTGTTTTGAAATATCGACGTGATATGTATATTTTACAAAAATAAATATATCCAATTGAGTAACAAAATTCAATAGAACACAGACAACTATAAAAATATTGAATATGACACATAGAAAATATAAATATTGCAAAATCAACGAAAATGTAGACAGGAAATATACATCAGAGCCATTACGGTCTTGCAATAACAGAATCACAAATCTGATGATAAATATTTATCTGAACTTTCAAGGGGAGTGATAAATGACGAAAGGAATCAATGGCATATTTTTTTTGAGTCACTGCAATATCAACAATTTTTATAAATGTCGGCTATCCATTCTGATAACATTTACTTCATACACACTTTCTGAGACAATTTGGCTCGTTCAGAATTCAACATTTTCATCTTAACATTTCAGGGCACATTTCTACTACTGCTTAATTACAGGTTGCAGACGCTAACCTGCAGTGAATTAATGCGCACTTTCCTTCTTTTATCGCCGACAAAACAAGGCGACCGAACGTAGAACTCTGACTCGAATGAATGCAGAGGGCGTAAAACTTCGGAAAGCTAAGTTCACATCCATCCTTCTCGTTCTTTATAATTTTGCATTTTACTTGATACTGCTTCTGTAAACATTGTCACCGCCTAACGATAACAGAGCTCAAAGTAATTGCTAACACAGGGTAAAATCTTGGGAGATACGATCTTTATCACTTGATTCCTGCTTCAGAGACTTAGGTTATCGTAATCCAGGGTTTGATGACACTTAGAGTCGTTCCCTTTTATAATCAAGAACTTGGGTATGCGGGACCATGAGCCATTAGACTGGAGAAATGAAACCCGTTTTAATGCAATCACCAGCTCACCCAAACCATTTCTCTTACTTATAAGAACTTTATTTGATATATAAGTTTTATTATACGCGTATCTGTGTAGAAGGCACCAAGTCAGATAAACCACCGAATAAGTGTGTTATAGCCCAAGTAAAATGGAGTTGAAATGTTCCAAATTAAAGTAGTTTTATAATACTATTTGATATGGTGACATGGAGTACAGAGACTGCTTTTAATATTGTGTATACTTTCAGGAAGACCTCTGTCATCGTCAATATTTGTAACTACATATGGCCATTTTATCTGGAAATATGAATCTAAACTCTGCCCGCATACTCCACTGTGATCACGATGATTATGGAGGGAACAGATCATAATATCAAATTTCCTGTTGATTTCATATTAAAAGTTACATAGATATTATTAATTATTCTGTGTCTGAGGAAAAGCCTTTTGTTGAAACAAATGTCTTCGTCTTTTATTAACACGTTTTGTAAAACGGAATTGCCATTTCCCACATGCCTAGAATTCCTCAACGGAATAAAGCTAACGCGTGCTGTACCATAAATTTTATTGAAATGGCTTACAATCTTCCTTGGTTTAAACTGTTCGTCCATGCTTACGAATACAGCAGGCCTACTGGCTACGACCGATGAGAAGAAGAGAGACGGCCAAGTATGCTAAAGAACATTAAAACTCTTAGTTCCATTTCGCGTTCCTGGCGCTTGTGGAAGGGCAGGTCTTACAAGTCTTGTCGATGGGACAATTCGACGGGGCAAACACTCATTTGGATGCAAACTGCAGGACATCTATGCCGTGCGTACAGAATGGAACAAGGAGACATTGACAAGTTTTAAATGCGAATCGAATTGATGACGACATTGCATGTAGAACAGGAATACAAAATCACTTGAAATGATTACATTCAGCAAGTAGCTATTATTCAAGAGTAGAAAGAAAGAAAAGTAAGTTCGCGGAATATGAAGATGGACAAAATTACTTTTCAAACACTTCTTTTCCTTTAGTTTCATGAAGAAACGCGATATGGGTTCTGTGTTTGCATTTCTACCTTCACAGAATCCAATTTGTTAGTGTTTTGTGTTATGCTTCGAAGGCCTAAAAGGAAAGTTCTGATAAATAATGTAACACTGAAATGAACGGAAGATTACCAAAGAAAGTGAATGAAGATTTCAAATGAATAGAAAATCTTTGTCCAAGTACAGAATCTTTCAGATGGGCGGGATTAATGCAAATTCAAAGTAATGCCAAGGTTTAACATTTTAATTCACAGATGGGAAATCACTATTCTTTATTTAATATTCGTT